CCCCAAAACCCCAAAACCCCATAAGGTAGTATAAGAGATGAGTTTCTAATTCTAGAATATAATAAATTAAATTTACTATAAGTAATTAAGTACTTTCTAGAATGAACTCAAAGTAAAACGATTATTCTGACGACTTACTTGAATACAATAGTATCTTGAATGAATCGACCACATGTTCTTTAGCTTCACAATCACTTTAGGATGGACCAGAAGTATAGCTTTATAATCAAAATAAAAAACAATCTTAAAGTGAGGGCCAAAGTACCCTTACCATTACTACTACTATCATCAGAATTGCATCCAGACCCAGTAGATTAATTTCAGAAGAAAATTTGTTGAAATTAAGGTATGCTATTGCTATTGCTCAGACAATATTATGGTCTAGCACTCTGATTGATTACAAAATTGATTACATATTTTACTATTCTAACTGGGGCAACTTTTGTACAACTGTAGTATTCTGGCTATTAGTGTTCAGTCATCATCCTTCCAGAAATGAAAGGTATCACTCTTTAGTTCTTGATTTTTACGAAATTGTCCTAGCAATGGAATATCTTATAAACTTACTATATTGGACATTGATATATGAGCAGAAATAGATTGAATTCTGGAAACCAGAAACATATCGAGGCCCATTCATCAATCATTTATTTCCATTTTTGCTGCTAAACTTTGAACTAATCCTCAATGGCATTGAATTCAATTACAAAAAAAATTATTGGTACTTTGGAGTCATTTTTATTGTATATACCATTTTCAATATACTAGGTACAATATATCTTAATGGACCTGTATACTACTTCATAACATTCAGGGATATAAGCACATTATTAATTATCTTCAGTATTCTAGTGATATAAGTTAGTATTTACGTGCTATTAGGACTGATGAATAATAATGTAATCAAAAAATACTTGATTATAAAGTAAGTGGATGGTCAAATTTAGTAGATAAGTGAATCAAAAATCATCAATCAAAAAATAGAATGATTAGCATCCATCAATTAAAGATATTTAAACTTCCTAAGTTATTATACTAAATTTTTTAAAAACTACTTAAATTAGCACAATGGGGTTTTGGGGTTTTGGGGTTTTGGGG